TCGCTATTACCGATATGCTCATCCAATCAAGTTTCGATAAACCCGTTCATCATCAGCTCCTGCGGTTTCGAACACGCCTGTTAGGTGGTGCGGTAGACCACGCCCAAAGCCAGGGCGAACGTAACGTGAGGTAGCCGAGTCAGGGCGCAGCGTGCGCTGACCCAAGCCGGAGCCGCGCGTCCTCCCGGTGTCATGTGATAGCCCGGGGCTGCCCGCGGGGATGCGGTAGACCGCGCCCAAAGCTGCGGCCCCGGCTTGGGTCAGCGCACGCTGCCCCGACTCGGCTACCTCACGTTACCGGGGCCCTGGCTTTGGGCGCGGCTTCTGCTCATACTTTGTGGTGCGGTGGTGGTCCGTCGGGCTGCGCGCTCTGACATCGGCCAAGAAAAATGCGTCAGCTGATCATTGTCATTTCTGCCACTTGCGTGTGGTGAAATGGGGTCATAACTTATAAGACGGCTTTTTCATATCAATTATTTTACATAAAATCATATTTCAAACCATAAATAATGTTCGACAGCCAAATAAAAGAAACAATACCAATACGGGCTTACAGTTTAAGGCTCGACATTGTGTTGTCTACGATTAGACAGCTGATAACTCATTCCCGTACGTCGTATGGTCGTAACACTATAATGACCTTTGCTTATTGTCACAAGTGCGCCGCATTCGCGATTGTTGCCCGACGCCTGTTTGCAGGTGAGCCCACTACAGTTGTTATACATATCTAAAAACCGATAAACTTTTAGGCGAAAAAGGCACTATTCCAGGCCCATTTTTGATTTTTTTTTGCGATATTAGGTAAAAACAGAAGCTTCTTATCCTAGGAAAAATAAAATGGGAAATCTTTCAAAGGTGGCACACTACCTTTAAGGAAAGGAGGCCGCTGTTGCGCGCTCCAAGGGCGGTGTTAGCCATCAGACAGCGCATTAGGCTCTCAGACTAGTATGGTGCTCGAAAGACCGGCTTACCCCCCCCCCCCCCCCACACACACACTATCGGGTGATCTCACATGGAAAGAGGGTTCTCAGATCGATTTGAAGCTCTTTTGGGCCGGGTGTTGTGTCTAGGAGGTGTCCTGCAAGCTGGACCCCTCTCACGAAATTATTGCCAAATTCTAGCATGCTAAGTTAATCCTAGCAATCTTAAACGCATTCATAGTAATAACAAAATGGTAGAATAATGACACTCCCATAAATATAGGTCGGCGATTGTTGAGCACTTCGTGTGTCACAACATCTTCGTGTTTCCCTACATTTCTAGATCTTAAATTCCTTAGCTTTGCGACCATCAACACATTCTAATTAAATTATTCAACACATTCTGTGAATGATTTAGTCATTCTAACGCAAAACAAGGTTACAGGTATTCGGAATATTGGGGGGTACTGTACCCCCCATGGGAATTATTGAGGGGGTCCGGACCCCCGCGTACCCCCCTGTGGCGGAGCCCCTGACTCCATCGCGACGCGCCTCCGCTCGCCGCAATCACGCCGCTTCCGTCTCTGTACTGAGGTGCGCCCTGACTGCCTGCCCTCCCCTCTATGTAGACATACCGCTCCGCCGTTCCAACCACGTCATCGCGTTAGCCCGCCCGCGGTTGGACGCTTCCTGGCGCCCCTGGGGGCTTCTGACACCAGCAGAAACGCTTCCCGTAGTTAGGCCGTCATTAAATTCAATTAGGCTAAGTATCGGAGGCGATGTCCAGTGAGCCGCGTGGCGACCGCGGCCGCGCGAAACGAACCCTCCCGCCGCCACTGACGCCATCGGCGGCGCCGGGCGCGGGGACAATGGATGACGTCTCGGTGACTGCGCCGGCTGATGACCGCTGATGGCCGCTGGTCAGCCGCTGTGACCCGACCGGCGGCCGCTGGGCACATCAGCGCCGGCTGATGGTCTGAGTTCTGTTAGAACGATAGGGAAACTCAGGAAAACTGCAGGAATCTCGCACCTCCGCTCGCATTACATGCGGTGGAGCGCTCAGTCAGCTTCACAGAAATAGGAGGCAGTTCCGCAGTCCGTCGGAAGTCGCGCGTACTCAGTTCGTCGAAAGTGCCCGTGAACGGGCCCTATTTAGCGCCTTGGCCGGAAGCCGGTCGTCGGGCCGGGCGGCCCGGGTCGGCGTGCCCGCCTCGTTTGCAGGCCGCAGTTTTACACGGCGCGGCCAGTATCGCCCGCCGGCCGATTGGAGTGTGACATGCGAGTGGTGAGCGCGGCGCGCTGACCGTCCGTCTGCCCTGGGGCGGCCGGAGGACAGGCCCAGCAGCGAGCCGCCGCCACCGCCGCCGCCGCCCGCCGAGCGACGCCATGCTGGCGTTTTTGTTCGCGCTCAACGGCGATTTTTCGGTGATATTGAAAGAACGCCCGTCCAATCGTGCCCGCCTCCCCAAACATAAACACAAAGGCGCCCGGACTGGGCTGTCAGGCCGAATCGCTCCTCGCCACTCGCCGCTTTTGTCGAGGAATAAAACAAGACCGCCTAATTCTATTAATTTGAGTGCGCCGCATAAAAAGGGCCTGGGCGGCGCAGGTGGCGGTGCGGCGTCGCAGATGCCGCCAAAATGGACTCCAATGGCGGCGGCGGCGGCGGCGGTGGCGGTGCGTGTGCAAATCCCCAGGAGGGGCGCGTCACGCGTCACGCGATCTTGGTGCAGGCTCTGGAGACCGTGACGGCGCGGGGGCCGTGGCGGCGGTGTCTCCGGGCGGACCGGCGCGGCTGCTGCGGCGGTCTCCGTCCCACCTGTCTCTGAGAAGGAGCGGGATTTCACGGCCAGCCGCGGGAGGTCCTGCGGCAGCTGCCCCGTCGGCCACCTCTCCGCGGCGCCGCGCTCACAGAGACCATTGTTTCTGGGGCCGCGGCGCTGGCACTGGCCCCTGTGCCGACCCAGCCGTGTGCCGGCCCCGATTGGTGGCCGGCGCCGGCGTGTCCCTCATTATCTCCATTCTGGGTGGATTAATCTGGGAAGAGTTGCGCACAATGGGGTCCGCCTGAGCCCTTTGTGCGCCGGCCACCGACAAAGTGGGCCGCGGAGGTGTGCGCATTAGCGCCGCCAGTGATACCCGAAATACGGCGGCCGGCGGCGGCCAGCCGTGTGATGCGCGCACACAGGGATGACACCGGGCCGGCCGGATCGCAGCCGGCCCGGCTGATTCTGTTTGTCACCGATCTCAGGCGCCGCCGCCGCCCCGCGGTGGGAGGACGAGGGCGGGAGCCGCCGGGAGCCGCCGGGAGCCGACTGATCCCGCGCCGGGGACGGGGAGCGCGGCGCGCGCCCCACCGCCGGCAAGGGGTGCAAATAGGTCCGTCCGAGTGGACAAACAGGCGCCGAGTGCTCTCCAGTGCCGGTAGCTCCCTCACGTGTGCAGGCCATTGTTCGCACTGTTTTATGGCTGGCTCGAGCAGATCAACCGCCGCCCAAGGACCCTGTTCCAGTGAAAGCGAAATGTCACTTCAATTTTTGCACTTGGTTTGCGTGGGGCCGAAGAGGTCTATCATTGTTTGACGCTGATTTCGTATGGGTGAACGGACCGATATCGCCGCGAACATACGGCGCTGAGTGGGAGTGAAACAACGACTAATCCCCCCGTCCACCTCGAGCAGTGATAGCGTTTGTGCCGAGACAATGCCCACTTTAAGTAGATACACGCTCAGGTACTTCAAAGTATAGGCTATCAATGTTTCTTTAAGAATATCTATGCAATAATAACCGGGAGTAAGTAAATTACAGCAGTGGTGCACAATTATTCAAATGAACAAAAGCATTTAAATGTACTTGTTATTATTTCATTCGTTTACTCATATGCCAAATGGGCTCAAAATGGTGTTTGCCATTCACAGTTACCGTGACATTTATCCACTATTGGACGTTTGGCAATGCCCCTGCCTCCCAGGTCACCACTTGCGACCTCTCCCGGGGACACCCATTATCGACAGCCAGCATGGCGCACAGGATGCGTGAAACGTTTACTCTAATGGACCGTCGAGTGGGCACTTTTTACCGGCGTTTTTCCGCGCCGCGTAACTGCCGCGCGACGGCGTTTTCGGCGCATTCCGGCCTGGCGCGCGGCAATGGCGGCGCGGCGATTTACTGCGCCACTGCGGCGCGCGGCGCACCCCGATTTACGGTGGCGTTTGTGGTGCAGCGTCACAGAAGCTGGCGCAGCCGGACGCGCCACGATGGTCGTAGCTCCGCCGCCGCCGCCGCCGAAAAACGCCCCCGCAATGCGTTGACCGCGGTGTGGCGACACGCGGGTCCAGAGCAGTGGGTGTAACGGGGAGAGATATGACGCGCGGGGAGCCGCCACGCTGCACGAGAGACTGGAGGCACGCCATGGGTCATGCAGCGTCGACAGGTCTTGTGCATCGGCCCGGGTCCATCTTGTGGTCATGGTGCGGTGTGTCTCCTCTTTGTTCTTAGCAGATCTTCGACCACGTTGATGCTTGTCAAACTTTCATAAGACATGCTTTCTTCGCAGGTGCCCTCAGCCCTGAACTATATCTGAGGTGCCCTGATCATGTCACATTTACGTTTTGCCCCCTCACCCTGCATCTTTATTAGTTCATTGCCCTTCCCCTCGCCCTCCATGTCCTTGCCCATCTATCGAGCTCTGCGGTGCTCTCCGCCCTCTCCCATCCAATCTCCGGCGCGTCCCGGCTCTCCCATCGGTCCCAGCCGTCCCTCCCGGTGGCGTGCCGGCCGCGCGTCCATCGGCCGCGCCTCGGGACGCGCACGGTAGCATGGTCGTCCGCGCGGCACGCCATCTAAACGGCATCCGAACGCCGCCGACCGAGTGACGGCGCCGCTATCCGGCCATCGCGTCCTCGCTCTCCCCTGCCACCTCCAGCGTCACCGATGCCGTCACCGCGCCGCCGCCGCGGCTGCTACCATCAGCCGCTGTCGCCGCTCCAAACGGGCAGCTTTACGAGCGCCGATTAGATGATACGAGCGGGCAGCGGCCGAGCGGACCGGCACTCACCAGCGCCCCTCCGCTCCGTTCCAGGCAAATGTTCCCGCAGATGAAGTTCCGCATGTCCGGCCTGGACCCCAAGTCCAAGTACATCCTGCTGCTGGACATTGTGGCCGCCGACGACTGTCGCTACAAGTTCCACAACAGGTGAGTTGGCGGCTGTGCGGTCGGCTGGCGCAGCGTGCCGGCTGCTGCAGCTCCGTGGGCTGCTGCAGCTGGCGCCGAGGTGACGCCGCGGCCGCTATCGAGCCGCGGCGATCTGCCGGGGGTGGCCGCTAAAAGTGCCGGCCGATCCTCCCAGACAGTGTCCTAATCCGCCGGGCGCATCTGACGCCGACCCTTACTCAGGTTTATTACTTTTATCATAACGTGATAAGTCCTATTAGCTATTTTACAGCTAATTAAGCGAACTAGTCTGCTAAAGGGTTAGCTCCATCAACGTAAATTGACGATTGCTGGCACCACAGATGCTATCTCGCCAACGAGTCTGTTTTCTTTTAGAAAATCATGTTGGAGATGTTAATGGGCATTCTTGAAACCTCCTCAGGCACGGAAACACGTTGCAATAAATTGCATGACCTCTAGCAAAACGTGCTGCTATCAACTGCCATTAATATCTTATGTAGGTATGCCCACGTATTACGTGTCAGCAAATATCTCCATAATGAAGTGGAACTTTCACTGCGGCGCGAAACGTGATATCTTTTTCTCAATGTTACACGGCTACCTGCCGATGCCACTCATTAAGGTTCACCAATCTGGCACATGCATATTCAGCGGCTCGCGGCTGGCGCGGCCATCCGTTCTCGCGGCGTCCGCTCGCCTGTGACCGGTGATAAATCCGCCGCCGTCCACAGCCGCTGGATGGTGGCCGGCAAGGCCGACCCCGAGATGCCGAAGCGGATGTACATCCACCCGGACAGTCCGGCCACCGGCGAGCAGTGGATGCAGAAGGTGGTCTCCTTCCACAAGCTCAAGCTGACCAACAACATCAGCGACAAGCACGGATTCGTAAGTAGACCGCGCTCGGAGACGGAGCGCTGCACTTCTGGCTTTTCTCCCCCCGAATGTCGTATACCATGTTATGTACGATAACGTCCTGCTTACCAGGCGACGTGACCGCTTGCAGGCGCCGCGGCTGACTGCGGCGATACCGGGATGCACCGATGCACCGCAGTCCGTGCCGGGGCGGCCCGCTTTCCCATATGCCCCGATGCCTGGACGCTCAGATACGGAGCCTGAGGAGACGGCCGGCCAGCCGGCCCGCACCCCAACCCCCAAACAGTCCGCCCCCGCATGGAATGTCGCGCGGCCGACTGCCGTGACCTCGGGGTGGCACCCTCGCCAGTAGCGCGTCTGGCGCCCGCGCCGCCCGCCCGCCCGGACCGTCTCTGCCGCGCCGTTATCGCCCCCGGTAGCGCCGTGACGCGCCGTGATACGCCGCAGAAGGCCGCGGCGCGGCGCAATCGCCCACATTGCAGCCGCCGTCGATTTGGGCCAGAAATTCAGACGTCCCCCGCTATCGGGCCGGCTCAAGTTGCAGGCGTCATACCGTGCACGGTCACTGGATATGTGCTGATGAGGGCCCCGGGGAGTGGGAGCCGACCGGGGGCCGGGGCGGCGGCGGGGGTGGCGGTGTCTGGCGGCTTTGCGCGGCCGTCTGGTCAATTAGTGCAGCTCGGGCGGTCCGACGCTCAGTGCAGAAACACCGCCGGCCGGCAGCGCGGGTGCAGCCGCCGAGCCGAGTAAACACCTCCTTTGAGCGCGGCCGCCGCCGCCGCCCGCTTGCCCGGCTGATGCGTTTTACATGTTGTCAGCCGTGTCGCGTCGTGGGGCGCGCGGTGGCTTAGCGTGCGCCCTCGGCCGCCGCGTGCGCGAGGGGCTTTCTCTTTCGCGGGCACGCAGCCGGCGATAGGTGACGGTCGTGATGCGGCGACGGGCCGAGAGGTGACCGAGTCCGGGCCTCCGAGCGTGACGCTGCCCGGCCGTCACTGACACCGTCCGGGCCCGTAAAACGCGCCGGCGCTGTCAGCGGCGCCGGGAGCGGGCCGATCGGTGCCGCGCCGCGCCGCCGGATCGGGCTCATCTTATCGAGCCATCTCGGCGCCGGGCTATCTCCCCGATCGGCCCCCGTCCGAGCGCCGAGCCGCCTTTGGAGTGAATTAGTTTGTAAAGTCCGCGCCGGGACAATTTGACACCGGTCGCCGGCAGCCGACAAAGCAGTGCCCCCGGCGGCGGCGGTCGAGTGGACCTGCTCCTCTCCGCGCCGCCGCCGCCGCGGTCGGCGTGGCGGCGCGCGCGAGAGGTCGTTTATTACACGGCCGACGGCCGGCGCTAAGTCAAACAGATAAATCTGCAGCGCCGCCGCGCGTTGGCGGCCGGCTGCGATGGCGGCCTCCGCCCGATGCCACGGTCTCTCCGTGTCGATATTTCATAAACCCACTGCCGGTGCCCCCGCGACGGGCACCCCGCCACCGCAGGGCCGACCCTGTGGGCCGTCCCGCGCCCGGCCCTGACGGGGCGGCCAGTCACCCACCCGAGATAATCTCTGTGGCGACGTTCGTCTTGCGGGCCGGGGGACGGGAGCGACAGGGACGCAGACGTGACGCGCTCTAATGCCACCTGGAGAAACTGATACGGTTCGCCGTGATGAGAGGCGCCGCCGCCGAACGTGTCTGCGATGGCGGCCGGATACGGCCGGTTTGGGATGCCGCGACGGTCCGAGAGCGCGCCGGCGAGGTTTTTATGGGCCCGAAATCGGAGGAGGCATCTGAACAAAATTGTGGCGAGGAAAAAGTATGTAACAGGCCGTATCGATAGAAGATATTCGTTATTAGTAACTGTAATTGCCAGACAACTACTAATTTACTGATGGTTGTCTCACAAGCTGGCCGTTTTATCGGAAGGAATGCCGGTTGACGCGGGCAGTTGGCAACTGTGGCGTCCGGCCGGGGCGACCTTCGGTCACATACATCTCTCTGTGTGCAGAGACGCCGGTACTCGGGCGGCATCCCTCGCTCTGCACACGTCGCTGCTCCTCACTGCACGGCCGGCGGTGCCGTCCGGCGCGCGGCCCGCCGCCCCACTCCGTTCCCGCGTGCAAGACATCGCTCAGCGTTAGCCACGGCTGCCCCCGCCGCCCGGACGCCGGGGCGGGACGCGACAGCGCCAGATTTGCCACGGTCCGGCCCGCTCGTCAGAGTTTCACGCCGAATTAGGGCGGCCCAGTTGGTTTTTGACCTCGTATATCTGCCGGGCTGGCGGCCGGTGGCCGTCGCAGGCCTACCTGCTCGTAAAAAGGCGCCGCTGAGCGGCCGTCGGGCGCCTCCAGCCGGCGCGCTGGGGACTTCATTAGGTGGCGCGCCTCTGTTTGCGCCGCCGGAGAGCGGAGGCGCACATCTGAGGCGCCGCCGCCGGCCCACAATAGCCCGCTCTCGGGAGCACAATGGCGGACCGGGCGGACGGCCCAGAGGCGCGCGCGGACGCCCCTGTGGGCGGCCCAGACGCGCACAATGCGCCGATGAGTGGGCGGATTGTCACCGCTCGAGTGTCGCACCCTTTGTCGGGCCACCTACCGCACCGGCCGGCCGCCTCCTCGGCAGCCAGCGGGCGGAGTTTCTGCGAGCTGTGCGGGTAGTGAAGAGAGCTGGTTAGCGCTGCGGCGGCGGCTGCCGAGTCCCGAGCGCCATTAGCCACCCACACGAGAGGTCACGTTCGGCTGCGTCTGAATGCGGCCAGTCGACGCTCCCCCGAGTGGCTAATTAGTGAATTACTTATGCCGCCGGCTCGAGCTGCTGACGGCCAGCTGACACGTGTAATTGGCCACTCCTCGGCCCTCTCACAGAGTCGAGAGTGAAAAACGGCCCGCTCTAGAAGCTGCCGCGACTAGGCGGCGCGTATGAATTAGCTTCGCTCTCAAAGACGCAGAGGTAAGCGGAAGTTTTACACTCGGCGCAACGATGTTGAAATGAATGCTCATGCAGGCGTTCCAACTCGCCTTTATAACGGCACCTCAAGTGTTTGCCTCACTGGTGGGCCTTCTAAAGTAGGTAACAGCCACTTACCTGAGTTCGCTCGCGTAATATTTCGGCGGTGCGCCGCGCCAGATGGGCGCTGCTGCGCGGCTCCGGTCGGTGAGTCGTGACCGCTGGTCGGGTATTGGAGTCAGCAGTCGCTCTGATGCGCTGCGCTGATGACTATCGGCGCGGCGAGACGGTCCCCGTCCGGCCCCGTCCTGCCGGTGACGTGCGGGCGAGCAGGGCGCCGTGGCTCTCCGACCCGCCGGTGTCATGGGCCGGGTGGGCGGGACGGCAGCCCACTGGAAGCTCTGAAACAAAGCCGCCGTCGCCCCGCCCGCCGCGTATCGCCGCATCGCCGCCCTTTGTGAGCGCGGTGCGGGCGCCCGCGCCCTACGTGCCGCAAACACGGCGGTCGTGGCGCGGCCGGCGCGCCGCTTTTGTCGCTGCCGGCGCGGCCAAACAAGGAGCGCCACCCATCGCGGCGCGGCGCGCCGAATTGAGACGTGGCCCGTTTTCGCCGTCTCTATTGTGACGCGATGTATGGAAGAGGATTTCGAGGAGATAGTCGAGGGTCGGTCGTTAGCAGTACCTAAGCTGGCCTTTGTTAATCATGTTTACACAATTTATGCTCCACCCGCACAGTGAGCGGCTCGTCTATTTGCGTCTGGTCTGCCATTACGGCTGATTAATTTCGCCGTTGAGCAGTTCAGCTGCGGGAGGTGCATCACGACCCAGTGTTCACGGCGCGCCGCTGGCCCCGCACGGCCATTGTGAGAAATTGAGCGGCCCAGGGGCCTCCCCGGGCCACGAGAGGCTGTCAGCGGGCCGCGCCACCGCCGGCCGCCATATTGGTGCCCCACGAAAAAAGGCGACACGGCCAGCTTCCCTGCACCCATTTCCCGTCTTAATTTCACTTGAGCCGTGAAAAATCGCCCCTCCATCCATTTAGCTCGGCGTGCCCGGCGCCGCCGTCTACGCCTGGAATAAAAATGAAGCCAGATAATTGCCACATATGTTATAAAAAGCTGACCGGTGTTTACACAGCGAGGTGGAGGGTCGGCGGTGCCCGACAAAAAACCCAGGTGCTGTTTTTAAATTGATTCTTTCCATATATCTGCGCGCCTAATGAAATGCTGCCGGCGGCCGCGGCGCCCCGGCGGCGTCCGTTCCCATTAGCGGAGCGGGCGCAGGAATGCCGGGCAGGCGGCGCCGATCCTCGCCTCTGCTCTGCGCGCCCGGCGGAGAGCCGGCGGCCGGCCGCGCACCGCGCCGTGCATTAATACAATGACGGCGCATACCGAGACGGGCGCCGGCACGGGCGCCGGCCGGCCTGTTTACAAGCGCCGAATCAATCGGCCGGCCCGGTAATCGATGGCCAGAGGTTCCGGCGCCGGCGGACGGACTCGTTTCGCGCGCGGCGCCGCACCGACGGCGCCGCCGACAGACACGCGACCGCGAGCGCCCCGGGCGCCGCCGGCGCGGCGGCCAGAGCTCGGCGCTCAACTCAACTCAGCTCACACAGAAACGCGGGGACAAAAACTCTGTCAAGCCCCACTCTTATACCTAAACGTCCGGGCGTCGCCTCTGAGCTCAGGACTAATATTGAGATACGATTACTGAGTGATTTCTGGGACGTTATTACGTTTAAATTGAAATTACCTTCCCGCGTTCCGAGTATCGTTCAACCCAAATAGGGTTCAACCGACTCTATTAGGCAGCGCCCAGTCCCAGTGGCACTGTTCCCAATGCCGATCACGAGGCTGGGAGCAGTCGGTCGGCGCGGCCTCAGGTCGCCTGTCAGTGACGGCCCGTGCCTGACCAATGGTCCCAGGCAGCGGTCCGTGTCCACCGGCTCCAGATCCGTCCACAGATCCGCGCCGACCCAATCCAGATCCGCTGGATAGCGGCGCCTCGGAGCCAGACGTGAGACCCATACGGCGCCGGTCGGCCGCCGGCCCGTCCAGCGGCCCTGTAAAACCAACACGGCGCCAG